CCCCACAACAGCGCCCCTTACCAGCAGGAAGTAGTTTGGAAAGAACAACACCCAAATTCCCAAATATTGTCTATACATGTTTGCTTTCATTTAAATGGACTTGGTTATATAAAATAAATAAAAAAATTTATTTTCAAAAAAAAAATAAATCTCATAAATGACAAGTATATAGCCAGGGATGGCTACTGCAGGACAAGTAAGCGGTGAGATCTGTCCCAGCTGTGCTAAGTTGGGTCTGGAACTCCTCAGTGCACATCCTAGCCAGAGAAGCTGGGAGGACTAGCATCAGTGCAATGTCTAGGACCAGTTTAAGGTGTTGTTAGGAAACGCAAGCATCATGCAGAGCTGTCCCTCTATCTTTTCTCTATGACTTTAAATGACACTGACTGTTCCTTCCTGGAATAGCCTTCTTTTTTATGGAAATGTGCTTGTTTTGTAGTTAGATCACATTTGTTAAGGATGGACTATAATTCAACTCACATCATTAAGCTAAACTAATCCAGTGTCTTTCTAAACTTTGGGATTTTATCTTTCTTACTTGCTTAGAAAAGCACAGTAGTCAATAAGAGAAAAAGAAAAAGGCTAAATGATTGCAGCAGACAGCATTCTAACAAGGCACAAGGCACATTTGTTTCTTGTAAGCATCCTGCCAATATCCTCACATCACCCCAACCTTCCCCCCCAAAAAATGAACCAAAATAAAAATCACTTAGATTGTAGGAAAGGCAAACACTGTGAAATATTTTAAGTTTATCGCCCTCTCAGTTAAGTAATATGAGTACAGGTGACATGGCATATGGAGTCTCAATGGTTCAATCATGTGGACAGAGAATGGTATGCTATATAAAGAAGAAGACACCGGTGACCTAGGTGGACATATTACCAATGGTACACAATCCCTCAGGAAACTGAAATGATTGATGTGGTTAGAATGGTGTGTGTGCCTGGACCACTGTCTCTAAGTCTTCCCTTCTGAATCGTTCCTCTGTTTTCTGATGGTTCCTGAAAACCTAAATCAGGTTTCCAGATTCTCACTCACTTTTTAGTCTTTAGTGGGCATATCATAAAATCAGACAGCTCTTGCACAGAAATACCTTAATCCTTAATTAGCCCTTATCAAAGACTAAAGGCCTGGAAAATGGAAGAACTCACTTAAGACATGCAGAAATGAAAAACAGGTGTGTATGTGGTGGGAATAGCAAAGGGATATGATGGCTTTAGAGGAAAGGGAAGACAAATGTGGGAACATCAGATACGATGTCAAAGCTGGAAAGACAGGCATCAGGGAGAGCAACACTGGAGGGAGCAAAGATAATGAAATGGATATAAGATTGAAAAAATCCTCAGGGAATGCTGTTGGAGGGAATGCTTTCTGCTCTGACAATGAGCATTTCTTTAAAATAAAAGCCTTACATTCATGATTGGTTACAATGGTGTTCTTTTGCTTCCCCCTAGGAAAGTGTTACCGCTGGCTTCTGGAACATGGTACCTAGCTTGTAAATTAGTGAAGGGAGCTCCTTTTGCTGACAGCCGTAATGTCTGCCATCTGTTTGCACAGAACGATGCCCTAATGCCCCACTAATTAGACATAAATTAGGTTCCAGCAGCAGTTCTGACAGGATCCCTCCATTGCACCTCTCTCTCTTTCTCTCTCCCCCTCCCTCTCTTTCCCTCTCCCCCCTCTCAGCTATGTGTTCAATGCTTTCTTGGATGCTCGAGATCCCTTAAAACTTATAAGTCCCTAGTTTCAAATACTCAGTTTTTATGCTTTGCATCTGTATGTGAAATTGGACCTCTCCCATATGCTTTTCTACTTAAAGAGGAAAACGAAAACTCCCAAGGGTTCCCATGTCCTACTTCAGAAGAGGAAGGACACACGTATGCTCCTTTTATACACAGTAAATTACTTTCTTTCAAGCATTATTTGTAATAGCAAGAACCTGGAAGCAATCTAGATGCCCCTAAACTAAAGAATGGATAAAGAAGATGTGGGACATTTACACAATGGAGTACTACTCAGCAGGGGGGAAAATGGAATCTTGAAATTCACAGGCAAATGGATGGAACTTGAAGAAACCATCCTGAGTGAGTTATCTCAGTCACAAAAAGAGGAACATGGTATGTACTCACTCATATATGGATTTTAGACATAGAGCAAAGGATCACCAGCCTATAACAAACACCACCAGAGAAACTAGGATACAAGGAGGAATCTAAGAGATTCATACAAGGTCCCTCACAGTAGTGGAAAGGGACAAGATCTCCTGAGCATATCTGGAGCGGTGCTGGGTGGGGGGAGGCAGTGAGAGGAGAGGGAGTTAGGAGAAAGGGGAAGGGAGGAGATGAGAACATGTGTGACCAGGAAGATTGAGTTAGGGGAGGAATAAATGAGATACCATACAAAAGAGATACCATAATAGAGGGAGCCATTATAGGTTTGAAGAGAAAACTGACTCTTGAGAAAAGCCCAGAGACCTACAAAGATGACCCCAACTAACAATCTGAGCAACAGTGGAGAGGCTACCTTAAATGCCATTCCCTGATAATGCAATTGATAACTAACTCATATGCCATTCTAGAACCTTCATCCAGTAGCTGATGGAAACAGAAGCAGACACCCACAGCTAAACACTGAGCGGAACTCCTGGAATCCAGTTGCAGAGAGGGAGGAGTGATAAGCAAAGTGGTTAAGACCAGCCTACAGAAACAAACCCACAGAGACAGCTGGCCTGAACAATGGGGAGCTCATAGGCCCCCAGACTGATAGCTGGGAAACCAGCATTGGACTGACTCAGACTGATTCAGCATGCTGAACTCAAACTCAACATCTGCCTGCCTCAGCCTTCCATCTGTCTAAGAACACAAAACAACAGTTTTTCTAAGTACACACCTTAAAATCCAAGAATTCAGCAGGCAGAGGCAAGCAGATCTCCTTGAGTTCAAGACTACCTGGCCTATACACTGGGTTCTAGGCTAGTAAGAGCTTCACAGTGAGATGTGTCTCAATCAAAGTGATAATGACACCATTTCCAATAGTTACTCTAAGGTTCAGCTCATCTTAAGGTCCATTCTGCCTATTAAACTTCTAGTCTCGGATCAACAACTCCCTATTATTCCCTTCTTTCTCCACCAGCTTCTCATAGCCACCATTTTGCCCTTCCTTTCTGACATCCACGATCGAGTTCAGATGTTATTTATCTTTCTTTGCATGGCCAATTTCATTTAGCAGTTTTCCAGATTCACCAATGTTATAAATAGCACGACTTCACCCCTTAAGGCCGAGGAATACTTACTGTATAGTCTTTATATATACAGTAATATGTACTGTGTATTCTTTACTCATTCATCCACCAATGGGCACTTTGATTGTTTTCATATCTTAGCATATTATAAATAATGCCGCAATAATTGCAAAGAGATCATGACCTTTTTGACATACTGGTTTTCAGTCTCTTTATCACCTAGGAGCTAGTGACTCAATGATGGTTTATTATGGTTACACTAATCTGCATTCCTATCAAGGATATGAGTTCATTTATCTGAATTCTCTCTAAAACTTAACATTATTCACACTTTCTCTAATTTTACATTCATTTTAATTCACATACTAAACTTTAAAAATTGTGTGTGTGTGTGTGTGTGTGTATTAGAAGGGTAACATGATGTTTTAATTCTTGCATATAATGTATAATGTTTAATTCAGTTAAGTGTACCCATCTCCTCAAATGTTTCCTACTTGTCTGTTGGGAATGCACTAAAAGTCCTTTCTTCTAGCTTTTTGAGGTGTACATAATTACATGCAGCTACCACACTGGGCAATAGTTTTCACACTTCTTGCCATGTCTAGCTGTAATTCAGTATCTTGATCTCTGACAAGCCAGCCTATCCTCGCCACAGCATAATCCTGTCTTATCCAGTTTTGTTAGAAAACTCTTGGTTGTGAAGTGACATTTCACTGTCTATTTCTCTAACTTAGGATTAAATTTATCTCTTTTTGTGACATGTTCTTTTTCTATACTGCTCTGTCTCTTATGGTCTTGGCCTCTCTTTCATCTGTTTTTCTTCCCTTGTCTGAACTTAACTTGAGTTTCAACAAATTCTGATTTTTATCTCTGTTCTTTCATAGAATTCCACCTGATAACTTCAGCTGCTAATTCTATGTAGGCAATGTTAATGTTAATTTTATGGTAGTGGTAGCAGGAGCTCCTGCCCACATCTATGACTCCCTGAAGAACTTCTGTCTTAAGCATCCAAGAAAGCACATCAGTGGATTTCGTTCTCAGGGGAATATCATCATGCCCCCTGAACTGATTCTTCTTCTACATCTAAATTTCTCTGTCCTAACAATATCCTTAATTTATTTCTTGGTCTTTAATTTAGTTATATATTCAACTATTTGTATTTACCCTTTTTAAACCTATTTATATTACACATTTCTCCTATAAATGGCCCCATGATCACAAGCTGGAATTCGACTCCCAACTACATACTTCGTCTTCAAACCCTCCCTCCCTAATTCACTTTGTACAGTACTTCCTGTTAAGTCTATCATTTGGCATTACTTGTAGGAGTCTCAGGATAGAGAAACAGAAGAGAAACCAAAAACATACTCAAAGTAATAACAATGATGGTTCTAAATAGGACACCAAAATGGCCCATACTAGCTGAGCACCACCTGAATTAAAGGGACTCTGTAAATGCTTTAATTATGTGTTCTTACTAATCCTCAAAATATCCCTATGATATTGCTTTATCTTCACTTTTCAGGTGAGCCTGTGGAGCTGAAGTTCAGAGTGGTTAAGTATCTTATTAAAGGTTACAAGGCTAGAATGGCAGAGCTGGCTGCTTCTAAAAATAATACACGAAAAGACACAGAACTCATCTGGAAAGGAAACTATTTTAAACAAGTGTTAGAGCTCTACAAAACCATGAGTAATTCCAGAAACATATATATGGCTGATATGAGTGTGTGCTATGCATAGAAAAAGCAATGTACTTACTCTCTGTCAATCACAAGGCACGTGACGGCCTCTGCAGCAATTACATTTGCTGTTCTCACATCCTCCCTGCATAAAAAAAAAAAAAAGTAGACACATTAGGATGGAGCAGCCTTTAAGGCAAAAGGCAAGTGACTATGGCAACACATCCAGGAACCAAAGTTCATAAACTTCTTTGAATAATTCCTTCTAGGTTAAGGCTTTGTGTGAAGAACCACTTTACACATAGTATAAATCACACATTCTCTGCAGTTATAACACAGTTGCTACAATTATCAAACTTAAACACTTTACACAAGTGGGAGAAAACTTTTTAAGACTGCTTCCTTTGTTCTTCTGGGGACATTTCTAAATTAATTACATGATGATAAAAATGGGAATGACTAGAGTAAATCTTTTAAAAGGTCTAAAGACATAGCTGTGGAAACAGATGTTTAATTCATCTGTTTTCAATTTGATATTGTAACTTTGAGATCAAAGGACCAGTTTAAAATATTTTCTTAATATAGTAACACTGCTTATATGCAACTAAAGTTTGCAGACTTAATGGTATATAGTTATTCGTCTGTTCCAGACTCATTATTCTTCAAGTATTTGATAAGTATTACTCACAGTGATTTAAATATATCAATATTATGACAAATATTTCTCACAGTGACTTAAATATATAAAGACTATCTCTTCAAAAACATGTAATTTTTAACTGTAGCAGGTGATGTCAGCCTCTGAGACCTTTGAAATCTTCGCTGATGTACCTTTAAACGTGAAAGATGGATTTGGTAAATTAACTTCACAAGTCATTTTCAGCTACTGTAAGCTCAGTATTATTATTGTCATAACATTTAATTACATCCAACAGTGCACCCTTTTTCTTATGATAATATTCTAAACCAATATAATTAATTGCAAATATGCTTGAAATATATCGCAGAGGCAATTGCATAGAAAAATAATGTGATGATATGTTTTCAGATCACAATTGAAAATAAAGATGTTCCAATGAATCTTTTACTATTGAAGACACACAAAAGTTCTGACACATACTTTAGATCCTGTAATTTTCCCCACTAACCTGTCTTGAATTATGTCTTTCATTGTTGCTATATCATCTTGTTTGGGTTACAGCTGTTTAACAAAAACAACATTTGATATTTGGTATACCAAAAACAAATATTCTTTCACTAACATCATTTTTCCAGAAATACCTTGTGATATTCTACAGCATTCACTATTTGATAATAACATGAAAATCATTTTTCTTCCTTTAAAAAAGCCACTTTGGGATTCTTGTAAATATGTATTGAACTAATACAATGATCTTAGTAGCAACTGTTTCTGATACTAATTTTTCCATACAAGACTATGACATCCCTTTTCATTACTGGGGTCTACTCTTATGTTTTTGAATGAGATTATATAGATTTTTCTGTCCAGTGCCTGACGTTTCACAAACAGTATTCTGAGGTGCTGCAGATTAGGTTTCTCCTACACACCTTTTCTATTTCTGTGTTGTACTGGTTTACAGATGAAAGCTCTTCCTTGTTGTATATTTTATTTTTTTTTATTTTAATTTATTCTTCTCTCATATAATACATCCTGACTGCAGCTTCCCCTCTCTCCTCTCCTCCCAATCTCTCCCTCACCTTACCTCTCTCCAGATCCAACCTCCCCATGGTTCTACCCCAGGAAAAGATTTTTAAATCTACCCACAAGACAGAGTTTTCCTCTGATTGTGAAATTTTTATTATACTTTTAGGAGCTGCCTGTGTGAGCCTCTCATGCCTACTTCACATTCTCTGCCTTCCAAAGAACATGGTCTCCTTTCAAAATTGGCAAACATATATTCTCCCTCCCGCCCAGTCTTCATAACATGCTGTTCTCAGGTTTAAGAAGTTTCTTTCCAACTGGATGCCTCTTCCACCCTCGTTTGTCCTTTGGATCCTATCCTCAGTGTCCTTTCCTAAGGCTTACCATCCTGAATTAGCTAGTGGTCTTCCTGTGTATCTGTTCTCATTACCTTACATATCTCCACATGGAACTGGTTATCACTACTTAAAATCCATACATTTATTTATGTAGCTATTCACTGAGGGACTCAATCTCTCTTCTGCTAAGCCCGTATAAAGGCCAGGAATGATGGCCAGATTTGCTCCCTATTCAATTCTTAATGTCCAATATAGGGGGTGCTTATAGTATAGTGTATACTATAAGAAGGGCATGGGTATTGCATTCCTGAACCTAGAGGTGGTAGAGATCAGATAATATCATCATAATCATCATTATCATCTTCATCTGCGCTCAGTAATTCAGTGACCTCAAAGGCCAGGGACATTGCATCCTTCCAGGAAGCTCTGAGCCAACAGTGGGTGTCAGGGAACAGCGTTGGGGATGTTTGCAAGAGCAGTATATGATCCATTTATCCAGTCCTAAGTTTAGACTTCAGAATCACAGGAACTTGCTGTTAATCCAAGATTTACAAGTCATAAACTATTTACACCCTGGTTTTCTTACCTGAGCATAAGAGTGAAAAGAAGCCATTTAGTGTCACTTTTACCCAGTAACAAAGTACAGATGATGTATGTTCAAATCCATTACTATTTTCTGTAGAGGTGATTTGTGTGTGTGTGTGACGTAAACATATCCCGCAGAAGCACATTATTCCCACGGGCTTCATAAGTTGTAAATAACTTATTCTCACCATGTGTCTGTGGCATCACAAGGTAGTACAAATAGCTTCTTAAAACAATACAGGGGGAGCTCATGGACCCCCAGACTGATAGCTGAGAAACCAGCATTGGACAGACCCAGACCCCCTGAACATGGGTCTCAGTTAGAAGGCCTGGGCAGTCTAAGGGACCTCTGACAGTGGAACCAGGATGTATCCCTGGTGCACAAAAGGACTTTGGGAACAAACACATTCCCCATGGAGGGATACTCCCTTAGCCTAGAGACAGGAGGGAGGGCCTAGTCCCTACTCCAAATGACTTAACAGATTTTGATGACCCCTCCTGGAAAGCATCACCCTCCCTGTGGAGTTGGGGGGATGGAATGGGAGGGGGCTTGGGGGTATGAGAGGGAGAGGAAACTGGGATCGATATGTAAAATAAGAATATATATATATATATATATATATATATATATATATATATAAAATCTACCATGGCTTTGTAAAAACATTTAAAATCTAATCTTAGATATCTATCTTACCTTGACTATTTACAATGGTGTCTATTTAGACCTTCTGTACTGGTGCAAATCTGTAACTACAGTTTCTAAGCACTTGGAGGAAGATCATGGGCCAAGGCCATCCTGGGCCATATAAACTACACAGTGAGATCCTTTTATCTCTGCTAACTGCTGAAAAATAGAAAAAAATGGAAATTTACTATTTAAAAATATTTCCATCTTGACTATTAAGAATTTTTAAAATAATATAAATAATGTGGATGTACATGTTAATGAATTAATCATAAATAGGCAATAGTTTAAGACTATCATATTATCTAAATTAGACAGATTTTTAACATTAAATACAATATTTTCCTGAAGCAGGAGAATTTTTTAATATAACCTGTAAAAATATCAAGGCTATTAACAGATTCAATAAAATATGTTATGTTATATTTATAAATATAATATGGATTTAGGTATTAATGTTGCAATTATAAAAAAGGGTGGGATCCTAGTGACTTTATAGTGTTACTAGCTATTTTAGACATCCACAGCTGTTACATTTTTATATAGAATATTGACTAAGTTAGTAAGGTTGCATATTACACACAAATATATGTTAAGAACTGTTTATAAAGAGTGTTCTTACAAATGCCATTTATTGAACATTACAAGTGGCAGTTATTTTTGTCTCAGATAAATACATGGGATACAAGCTACATAAAAAATCAACAGTCAGATTCAGCTCTTGAATTGCACTCCTGGTATTTAAACCCAGATTGGCTGTTCTCTGAATCAAATTCTTTCTGCAAATCTACACTGCTCATATACTTTGTCAGAGTTAAATTTTTCAATAATTATGCATGTATTGAAACACAGAATAACTTTTGAGCAGTGTTCATAATACCTACCATAAAATTACATTTGCTAATAAAGCCAGTGCCAAAATATTTTGATGTCTAATGACAAAATTAGTCTGATGGGCATTTAACTCTTAAATTATTAGAGTCCCATTTATGGATATGTCCTAACTTGCCATGCAACTCTGTAACGATGTCATGCAATACTAGGCAGTTATTTAATGTCAAGTTCATCTGACTTCAAGTCATGCTGTGTTCACAGTTCCATTGTTCCTACTAGTCAGGTAGTACTGCCCTCTGTTCAGATGTTCAGAAATGCCCAGAGACCCTGCTTTTTTGAGGGACAGAACACTGCCTGACTTGGCTTTGACATGTGTTAATCTTCCACTTTGGCAGACATGCTTCTAATGAAAGGGTAGCACAGGAAAAAGCTGTGATTATTGTGTATATTTGTTTCTGTTGTGGGTACAAGGGCCATGATAAAAATAAGTGTAATCTGGATTTTGGTTTAGTGTTACAAGTACATGTAATAGAGGAGGATCCTAATGACTTTATGTTGTCACTAAGCATTTTAGCCATCCATGGATTTTATATTTTTATAGAGAAAATTGACCGTGCTAGAAAGGTTTCATTTACTACTGGCTTAGACATGGAGAAAAGAAAAATATGGAAGGAGACAGTTTTTTGTTTTTTTGCTTTTTTTTTTTAATTAACTTGATTTCTTTTATTCTTGTTGATGTATATTTAGTGGTCTCTAAGTTTTTTGACATGATACATCTAAATACACACTGCTCTGATTTTTCAGCACATGTATGTTGCTACTTTGTATTAAATAAAACTTGTTATATATATATAGCAATCCAGACACAACAGTCTTTTAAAAACAAAACCTTACACTCACATAGTTCTGTGCCCACACATTAGCTGATTTTAGCATTACCAATAATAGTAGTGATAGAAAATGGACCATTGCAAAACTAGCTACTGCTTGGCCAATTATCAGGTATTTCCACAAGCACAATATTGATTTATAAAACT